AAGGCCAAGTTAGTCCGCTCAAACATGGCCTCTCTCTGGATACAAGTGTCCTCACTACTGGCTTTTGCGTTAGATATGTATCTCTCCGTAACCGTGCTGTCGTCTGCGTACCCAACAATACCGGGCATAAGCAGGTCGTTAATGTGCAGCAGGAAAAGAGTTGCTGAAAGAACAGACCCTTGAGGAACTCCGGCGTCGATTTCCATGTGGTTCGAGGAACATCCATCTACGACCACACTAATCGACCGCTCGCTCAAGAAGTCAGATATCCAGTCGCAAAAGTCAGCGGTAATACCATATGCTGGAAGTTTGCTCAGCAGACCGGCGTGCCAGACTCTGTCAAAGGCTTTCGAGATGTCGAGCGATACTGCAACTGCTTCGCCGTGTTTCTCGATAGCCTCGCCCCAGAGGTGCGTAACGTACACAAGAAGATCCCCAGTAGATCGGCTCTGGCGAAAACCATATTGCTGATCACTGAGTAGGTCGTGTTTTTCAAGGTACGAAAGCAGCTTAATGTTAAGAATCCTTTCCATAACTTTGCAAATTATGGAGGTGATAGATATCAGGCGGTAGTTGGAGAGGTCTAAACGATCACCCTTTTTGGGTAGAGGTTGCACATTGGCTAAATTCCACATTTTAGGAACTTTTTTCTGTTCGAGAGAGAGGCGGAACATTCGTGTTAAAATAGGAGACAGTTCAGGCGCACAAACCTTAAGCACTGTTGCTGGGATTAAATCGGGGCCGCTAGCTTTATTCACATTCAAATTCTGCAAAGCTCTTCTAACCTCCTTACAGTGTATGGTGACATGTGGCATAAACGTGCCACAGCGAGGGAGGGAAGGTGAACTTGCACTGCCTGCATTCAAATGAGAATTGCTCGCGAAGAAGGAAGCAAATAAATTCGCTTTCTCAGCCGCGGAGTGAGCCAGCGATCCATCAAGCCTCAGCATAGGAGGTAAACTGGGACGGCAGAAGTTGGATTCAACCGACTTTGACAGGGACCAATATTGTTTACTACCGTAAGGGTAAGATGACAGTTTGGACCCAATGCGACTTATGTGATAGAAACGTGCCTTACGAGACATTTTCTTAGATGCCTTGGCTGCGGAGTTGAAGGCCTTCTTCCTCGCACGAGCCCTCTGAGCTCAGAGTTTACGGTCGCGAGCTTGAACCCATTCACAGTGCGCATACTCTTTTCGCATTTCAGCACAAGCACAATCCGCATTAAACCAAGGTCGGGTTCTGTGATCAAGCGAGATATCGGAGAACGGAATAAAATATTCCATTCCCTGTTGAATCACGTCTACGACTGCATCACAGGAGCTAGAGGGGTCATCCGATGGAAAAATAGACTTGTCTCCAAGGATAAGATGCAAAAAATTACGCATTTCGTCCCATTCTGCTGACTTGTATCGCCAAACTCGCTTCGTCCTCCTAGGACTGAAATCTAGAGGCGAGGAGACCAACACAGATTTGACCACACAGTGATCTGATGAACCCAGTGGAGCTGAGACCGAAACAGAGTGCCTGTGAGGGTTTGTTGTCAGCAGGTCTAGGCAGTTGGGGGTATGGTCATCGATGTCCGGTACTCGCGTTGCTTCATTTACAAGCTGAGTGAGATCTAACGAGAATACAAACTTGCGTGTCTCACGTCCATCGTGGTCTATTTTTTCTAATGGGAATAACCAGTCGCGTTGGTGGGCGTTTAAATCCCCAAGAAACAGAAGCTCAGCTGCGTTGTACCTTTGAATAGCCGCATCCACCGTCTCAGTTAGGTATTCAATGAGCCTAGTTGTCTCCTGGTCACCGCTATGCGATCGATATTAAACCGACGTAGAGCTGTTTCTCTACACCAGTATCAACCAACAGCCAAAGGGCGGATATACCAGGTTTTTCAAAGCCACGGAGACGCTTATAGCAGACGTCATCAAGCACGGACACACAGACCCCAGCCCTCTTTCGGAATTTATGTTATAAGTGTAACTTGGGTAGCTGAGGTACGACACGTCCGAAGGGGTTGCTATCTGCGTCTCCGTTAGGAAGAAAAGGTTTGGCTTTTCGGCTTCAAGGTGGTGGTGGACCGAATCGAGATCTGAGTGCAGCCCTCGGATGTTAGAGAGGTGCACTTTTACTGGGAGGAAGTGCAGCCGTTGTTTGAACCTTTTTCCCTTTCGACTTTTCATGTATTTGAGTGTGATTGGAGTGATGATGACAGTCAAGGCGAAGTCCATTGAACAACTGGAGCACCACAGTACAGCCAACATATGGGAAAATCAACATGGAGACTGCGGGGACGCCCGAACCCCCCCCCCCCCCCCCCCCCCCAAAGATGTCCACCGGGTCCTCCCGTCCAGTCGCCAATTTTCCTCAAGTTGGCGGGGCAGCCTTTAGCACTACTTTTGCTAGCGCACTACTTGGACCCCCTACTAACAGCGGTCGGTCAACGGCAAGACCGTGCTTCGGATCCCGCTAGTCACCAAACCGATCTGACTCAGTACGACTCCACCATAGGCTCAGAACCGTTCTTGAATCAATTAATGCTACTGACCGCTTAGCATCACCTTTTGCACTGGCACTGACCATTGGCACTGGTTCTCCTGCACTCCGACGGAACGCATCAGGATGCTTGGCGGTTGGAAACCGACGCCTAGGAAGCCTACCACCACATTGAGGGATCTCTCTGCCGACAACATAGAGCGTCGTTGACCAGGGTGGACCACTAGGAGGTGGATCACCACCAACCCCGAACAACTCAACGATTTCTTAGAGTTCAACACATGAAAACGGGCGTCTCTTTCCGAAAAGCACGGACCTGTGTCTGTGGATGTAGCCACCGGTCTCTATGAAGCACTGGTATATTCTTCGAACCTAAAAATGGCTCGAGTTCGTCGATTTTGAACATCACACCGCCGCATTCCTGATTACAGTAGTGCAACCACTTGGGTGCTTTATCAGCTGTGGTATCCATCTTCGAGATTTTCCTTCTGTCAAACCGGTTCTCGTCAATGGTTGAATAGTGTTGACCCTTTTATAACCACAAAAGAAGCGCAAATTACGACGCTTATTGGTAACACCATTTGCATTAAATTTTTGTGACACTTTATTTGTGGCATTAGGTTTGGTTTTTATAATTGAAAGTAATGTTTTTATTAAGTTAATTTAATGATATTCTAAATAAAATCATAACCGCTGTGCATATCAAGAGTTAATGACGATAGAAAGTGATTCTCACATAGGTGCGATTTTTTTGACGCCAAGTGTAGTATCCATATTTGATACGGATACATGAATATCGGCACCATAACGTTATTGAAGGACCCATCAAGAGCTTCTTGAATTATTCTGATTAGCCGGAATTTTCCGCGTTTCGAAATTAAGCCTTCTGCGTGGGTACATCAATGAGCCTCATCAGTTGTATCTTACTGCCTACGCTTACTGTGGTCGTTAAAGACACAGTAGATAACTGTCTTCAAGGACCACGACCACCTAACCCTCTGTTGTTATACAATACGATATTTCGTTTCATTTTATACTTTCACATGATAAAAACTAAGTTAGTAACTGTTGGTTACTGTTATTGCCATATTCATAATCATCATTCGTTCATTGTTATTTAAAGTACATGACAAAGAAACAAAACCTGGTTTTACAATGGAAATACAAACGTATAGCTTTTCCTTTAAAAAAAAAAACCATTTGGGTATTAGATTTAAAAAATTGTAAGCATCATCAATAATTACGAAACTTTCCCACATACTTGGTAGCCGTCCAAACTAAACGAACCTAAGGAAAATACCAAGCATTTTTCAAATCCCTTCCTTTGAAATGAAATGCAAATCAAATATATTGAAGGTAAAATTTTGGAAAAAATAAACTTTAATAATAGGATCTATTAATCATAAAATATGCAAACACATCGCACTCAGCATCGACGACAATAAAAACAAACGAACACAAACAAATCGCTTAGCAAAAATAACTTCTAAAAATAAAGTTATAAAAAATCTGTTTCGTACCGTTTGCAGACGATTGTTTGATCCCAAGATAAATATATTATAATGCAACTAAAGCACCTAAAATACATATTCGCTGCAGCTTTAAATTGAGCAAGCAACAACTTAACAAGTATAACATAAAAAACTTGATGTATCTAGCCCTAAATTACTAAATGTCGCAATAAATTGGAATACTTATAGAACTATATAAGTGAAATTACTTCCAAATTAACATGTCCACCGCATATGATATAGCATCCCTATTTGATGCAATAAACAAACAATCAAAATTTTCCTCTTTACAATAGTATAACATATAAGAAGTTATCCTTACGACTGATGATGATGATGATAAGAAAATAATAATAAATCATATAAAATCTACGCAAAATATACCATATTAAACAATTATTGCTTAGATATAAAGCAATTGATTAATAAAGGAATGAATATAATTAAAATGGGAACAAGGCATAGCTGCACAAAACCGTTAGCAGATGTATTAGATAATTCTTTAAAAATACGGAAATCACTATTCAGAGACTAATGAATAGAACCGTCTCAGAGAATGGTATTTTAATTTTTTTAAACGGTTGGATAGTAATTAATTAGGTAAAAGATTGTAATAATAAGCAAACGCCTTTAATGTACAGCAAAAAAAACATTCTCTTAAATAATATAAATAAATAGAAATGAAACCACCATGTAGTAACACAAAGTCAACGGTGCCAATTCTTTTGTACCACTCTCTAAACTAAACTTTAATTAATTTGTTATATATTACTTTAATTATATGTTACTTCACATATGTAATAAAAGAAATATAATTATACTCCTGTACACTATAATATAATAATTTACTTCTGGGTTCTTGATCATTCACACAATTTAATACGCAATTTCACAGGATTAAAACTAAAATTAGTTTATTTTGTACATCCGAATTGCCACCGTTATTTGAACTTAAAAATATTTGTGATTTTTACAATTAATCTGGTGACTTACCTGTTGTTTGTGATGCTGCAGCTTCTGTGGGCTCATTACTTGTAACACGGGGTCCAGGGAACGTTTCCCTATAAGATAAATAAACCAATTTGTAACTATTGTCACTACAATTTTTATTAATATGAAAATAGCCAAAGGGAAAAATTAATACCTTCGTGATACATCTTCAGGTAACATTTTTCTCATCAAGTACTGGATTACTGTGTTAACGTGCAAACTTTTCGGAGCTTCTGCACCGCAAGGACACGGACCATTGCTTTGAATGCATCTGCGCAAAAAAAAATACATTTTTTAAATATAGTATCCAATACAATAATTAACATAAATAAAATGTTTATAAGGTACATACTTCGTGCACCGCGTGTGCCCACATTGTCCAGTAACCGGTAAGACAGGAAAAAAATCACAATTCAAGCAATGTAAAGCCTTCTCATCAAGAGTTTTATTGTTTCTTGCATGCTTGATTACTCTGTTTGCAACTTGTCGAGACTCTAAGGTAGGAGCCGGCAGATACAGAATAGATGACCGAGCATATTGGTAAGACACGTACGTAGGCGCACTTAAAAGATTAACATCCACGGACTTAGAGGAACAACATTTAGGCTCCTGATTTTTAGAAGTCACATCTATTGTACCTGGATTTTCAGGAATTTGATCTACAGGAGAGAGTTCTGTATCTAAATTAATTACCTCCGAATTTTCCGAATTTAAGTTAACTGTATTGGAATTTTCTCGGAATGAATTTATTATTCCTGGATTTCCATGAACAGGATGTTCTGTATTTTCATAGGGTTCTGGAGATATTTGCGTGGCTCGATCAGTAACATTGCTCGTGGGATAGCCGTTATGTATGCTTTGATAACCAGATATTGCACGGTCGACAGGCTCGCGGAAGATATCAAGTGTACCGTTGGTATTTTCTATAGCCGATGATGAACACACCCGTCTTCCAATGGTCGTCCATGCACCATGTGTGGCTTGAGGACCTGAAGACGACAAAGTAGCCGCAGACTGAACTGACGAATTTACAGTCAGTGTAAGTTCATACATTGGTTCACTGTCATCTGTTTGCATTTGGACGTCCGATGTAATTATAATCTGCGGCTCGTCTGCTTGCCACTGAGTAAAGCTGCTCGGATATCTTGTCCGTTCATTAGATGCGATAATCTGAAGTTGATGATCATGACCATTTATTATAGGATTTGAATATGCTGTCCGATGTTGTGCACGCCTTTTTGCAACCAATCTAGGCCTCTCTTGAGTTTCTGTGTTAGATCTCTGCTCCATGCTTTCTTCTTCTTGTAGCGAAGCCAAATTTGGCCTGTATCTGTGCATGCGCTCGCTGAGACTCTGGGGTCGAGAGGGATTCTGATATCTACGATACATTCTTCGATACTCCCTAGAGGTGCTACGAGGTTCTAGTGGCATTTGGACAGAGAGGTGATGTCTTAGAAAAGTATGACCGAATGTTGGAGTCCACGATAAAATGCAATTAGTAAAAAAATAAGAAGAGTCTAAGTATTGTGAACTCGCTTCTTGCCGTGAATTCCGCGTAGGTAGAACCTGAGGACAAAGGAAACTAAGATTAAAAGTATGTTCCAGCTACGACTTTATGTATTGTTATTGCATCGTTCATTATTGTTATATAAAAGTTATTATATAAAACGTGACCTCACTCATGCATGATAACGTGGTGTTGTCAAATAAGCTTATCTGTTAGTTTGGCTCGTGGATAACATGAAATAATATAAATATTGATATAATTTTATTTTATATAATTATGGTTTAAATTCAATAAACATTTAAAGCAATCGCAGTTTTGAATAAGGAGGTAGATACTTCAAAAAAGTATGCAATAAAAACAAACTAAGACTGTCTCGATGTGCGTGATATGAAGTAACAAGCGAGCTAGTGATAATTGTCCCTTCGAGAGAAATCAATGCAGGGTGCGAGAGCTAGCCTGGAAATTATCAAGTCCTGCTTGCGAGCGAATTTGCATCGATGCACTCTCCCTGAATCGAAGCAAGAGCGATATAGACGCCACATCAAATTTGACTATGGTCATCTCTTTCGTGTCAGACGAATACCAATCGATGCAAATAATATATAAAGTTAGCATACTGAACATGTACATAGGTACTCGTAATAGTGTGATATCTAAACTACTTACATGTGTACTATAAGATTGTTTTAATACTGTATAGGAATTAATTTAATACAAAAATAAGCTTAATAGTAAAATACAAATAATAATATCAAATAACATACCCCACGTATACATTGTTTTTAAATTCACGTTCGGTTATCACACATTTGACGACCTTTGAGTACTTTATATAAATTAAGATGTCGTTGACATCACAGAACACTTTGAATTATTCTTTTATCACGCTCAAGTATTAATTAATAGCTTAGCACAATAAACGTACCGTGACAAAATCGTTTCGCGAACGTTACGAAGTTATAGACCGGTGCCAGCGGTTGCGATAACAGAGTTTCGTTTACGCGAATACGAACTGAACTTGGCCCAGTGAACGCGGTAACCGGTCGAGAGGCGCACCTTGCCGGCTGCGGACAGACAACGTAAACCGAAGCAGACGTTGTGACGGGCGGGCGTAGCACGCCGACCGACTATAATGCGACCGAGCTGCGCGACGACTAACGCTGCACTGCGGCCTCATCCGCAACACAGACAAACACTAGGCTACATCTAGGTCACGAAACTACACAGATGATCCTTTAAAAAATTATCTAAAAATGATAGCATTTTTACATTTTTTCAAGGAACTAAGGTTTGTTACTTTTTCTATGCTGGAAAATGATTTACGCTGGTTTTTGTTATTCATTTACTTTACTCTTACTAATTTTGAAATAACTTTAACACAAAATCTGATTACATGAACAAATAGGTAGGTATATCATTAAAGGCAGATTAAAATATAATTAATTAAAATATTGTCGTAACTATTCAAATATTTTAAGTCTTATTGCAAGAAAAGACACTAAAACTTTTTTTAGCAGAAGCATCGTACTAAAAGATGATTATGATGACGGAAAAATTATTGTATTTTTTTCAGTTTCGAATATAAAATTTCTTTGCAACCCTTTGCATAGTCAATTTCTACGCAATCATTAAACCTTCCCTTAGCATATCATCTTTTATGAAGATTTTGAGAGAGAAATATAAAAATCGATACGAATAGTCGACGGAGCATTTAGTTTCTTTTCTTTTTAATATTGTTTGTAGAATCTTTTTTAAATAATATTAAATATATATATAAATATGAAACAACATCATTTACATTGCTCAGATTCCAATATGGGTAACTAAAGCCCCCGTATTATGGAGTATCTGAGACAACGAAGGTAACACAACACCCAGACCCCGAGACAATATAGAAAAGTTCATTTTCTACGTTGACCCGACCGGGAATCGAACCCGGGACCTCAGAGATGGTGACACCTTGAAACCGGTGTGCGAACCCCTTGGCTACGGAAAAATATAAAGTAAAAATAAGTCGTCAAAAAAAATAATCAATCAACGCAGAAAATACCTAGTTGAAAACCCAAAAACTATCAAGTAGATGATACTTCGTTTATTACTTTTATACGAGCTTTCAACCCTTATTCAACAGTTCGGGTAAAGTTCGATCGACTGAAACTCTCAAGTTACAAAACACGATATTTTGTTTGTATCCGCAAAGAGTTATTCAGTTATTATGTAAGAAGAACTTTAGTAATTTAAAACTCCCTTATACTCCTTGTCAGGCGAACTCTTCCCTCTTTCTATACTCTTGTGTCTTAATAAATAAGAAATAACCATACTCTATTCTTTTAAAAATAAGCAAATTTCTCCAACGTTCTCCTTAAAATACTATATTAGAAGTTCTCCCATTAGTTTTGGATGGGGAAATAAATAAGCAAGTATTAATCAAAAAGCTAAGCGGCCTGTCTAAGGTTCGGAATTCAAAAATGACTTGAGTTAAAATATCTATAGAATTTATTACCAAAAAAGTGTTTTATTTTTCTTACCAAATACCGGCTACAAAGTTATAATACGAGTAACATAAAATAACAGGCCCATATGTGAAGTCTAGACAAACTACTTTTCTTCGGTTTAAAATACCGTTTCTTCATAAAAAATTTATTGTAAGTAATTTTGATTTAGAATGATTAAGTTTTAAAAATAATTCTAAGATTTTAAATTTCTTTGTAATCCACTTTTCTTACTATATTACGTTTACACATTTTTTTACAATATACAATATGTTGGTTGTAAACAACATAATGTGCGGTAGAACGTTGTCTCATTAGCATACTCGGCAGTGCCGATGTCATTGATCCTTAAATATTTACATGTGGACATCTTAATGTCCCAAGTATCTAAGAGCGTCAAGCTGTATTTATAATCAACTTGAGTTCCGACAGCGGCTACACCCGCGTGGTCCTGTATTATATATAAACTTCCTGTTGAATCATCTTTATATTGATAACAACATTAAAATGCGTTGTGTTGTTTAACAGACCTCAGTCTACAGACAGCAGGAAGGAATTATGATTTATACTATATAGGACGAGATATAATATTATTAAGTCCATCCAAAAATAAAAGCTCAGGTGAGTCAAGATTTTTCTGTAAAATGTAATTATTCAATTAGATATCCTTTCGGTTATACCATACTAGACGTACAGGAGCGCTATGAATAGATCATAATGGAACGGGTCACCGTCACGTGACCTTCGGCCGCCTTTTGGGATTCGAGTACGACGAACTGAACTGTCTGCGTCAATATTTTATGACATCATTAACGTCACATTGAATCAAAGATAAATGTGGAATTCTATTACGAAAATTACATTAATAATATCCCATTTATATGAGATTATTTTCAAAAAACCATCGAAATAGGTATTGGTGGAAAGGTATGAATTGCGTGCCTCCGCATTGCAACGTTATTTGTTAGTGCAGCTACTAACTAAGTAGCTGGTATCTATATATTATAGTGATTTTAATTTATATAATGACTGGTTTTAATTTTTATTTTCAAATTTCCAACTGTCGTGTTCAATTTCGAGACTGATTTCCCAACAAAAATCAACTGCAAGTGCTTAGTTATATTTGCCGTAATATTTTTTTCTTCTCTGTTACATAGAGGAATTTTCCACTAATCATTTTTTTGGTGAAAAGCGTTTAAATGTAGAAATTGTATTTTTAAGAATATTAATTGCATTCGAATTTTTATTTTAATGTAGAAGTTAAGATTCTGTCACAAGTCTTTAATGAGAAGTTTTTGAAAAAAAAAAACTAAAAAAGAATTTATCCTGACTGATATGTCAATGCCGAGCGTAAACTATCGAAATAAGACCCAGGACCTTTTTGGTAAGTAGTTCTTTCACGCATCACAAATATCTGCAAGTTGGCACAAATGCACCGTAAGAACTTCCGATCGGATTCGCATCGCGCATTCTTCTGATATTATATTAAACTTTGCGACGCTATTTTTATTTGTTCTGAGACAGCGTAAGGGAAAGAGATTATAAATGTGATTAAATAATTTTATTTTTCTTAATTTACCGGATAATCAGTCCTAAAATTTCCAAAGGCATAACATTAATTCTCCTTTGCACGATCGATTTTATAGGGGTTGTTCCGGATTCAACCTATGACGTCTTATCCTATGCATTATTTTGTCTTTACTCATCGTATTTTTGTTCTTCACCCAACCTACAACAATTTTAATTTTGAATTCCTCACTCATCTCATAAGTGTTCTTAGCTCATCCCAATTTCAAATCACAAAAATGTAAGATTTTTGTGTACGGTCTGAACCACGAACAAACACAGTATCATTTTTTTTCAATCTCAGTTAATTGTTGTTATATAAAATAAAACAGCAGAAAATCTGAAAGATACAATAAGAGATAAATTTTGCATTCACAATGCTTTATTTAAAATTTTCTTTAAAATAATGTCTTTAAAAAATGTGTTAATGGAAAAGAGTACAAATTATATAAAATTGTTAAAGGGACTTCCTGTTTTGAGACTACCATAGAGATTTTTTTTATATGACTATAGTGACGAACTGATAAGAACGTAGCTAAAATTAAAACCAGTATAAAAGTAAAGAAGAGGGGAAGATGGTCTGTGGATACAAAAACTGATAAATCTTTACAAAATGACGTATATCGTCATTTTGTTACGTATATCGTCATTTTGTAAAGATCATTCTCATTCTAAAATAATAAAAAAAATGTCTTCTTCTGTTCTCAATGTATCTTAGTATTTTCGACTAAAATAAATATACCTGATGATTTTCATTGAAGATATGGTCACATGAAACAACGCTTTCCCGCACAAAATTGTATCGAAGTAATTCACAATGCAATTTTCTGCAACGCGGTGTCGCAGTGTTGTATGGGAGCATATCCTATTAACCAAAATATTATTATCTCGAGCTACTCCGTGCTTCGGAAGGCACGTTAAGCCGTTGGTCCCGGCTGCATTTGCAGTCGTTAATACCCTCCAATCCGCATTGGGCCAGCGTGGATGGTCGTGGCCCATCCTTCTTAACCATCCATAAGGAAGGCCTGAGCCCCTGCAGTGGGCACGTAAAAGGGCTGATGATGATGATGATGATATCCTATTAATATTATAAATGTAAAAATTTCTTTGTTTTGATGTTTGTCCGTCAATCACGCCGAAACTATTGAACGGATTTTGATGAAATTTGGTATACAGATAGGGTTTTAGCTGACTTAGACAATAGACATTTCCCTACTAAACATTTCCCTAGAAACCACGCGGGCGAAGCCGCTGACGAAAGCTAGTAAGAATTATATTTTTTGTCAGCAAAGTTTATTAATCATCGACGTGTTTCATTACATGTCTCGTCACGAAATATTATTATTTCCAGATAAGATCTAAAAATAACAAATGTTGCCAGATATTCAATGAATTTGAATGTGAATTTAGTAATAAAAACTAATAAGAAATTGGCTACAAAAGTATATACGAAATAAGGGTATTTTTCTCTCTCCTGCCACAAACTACCACAGAGTTGACCTTAAAAAAAGGGCATACAATTTATCGCGATAAAGCGGATCAAATTTTGTCATTTGTCAGAGGTAAAACCACGAACTTAATATTTAGGCACATCGTTAGATATAAATAACGATTGGTTTTAATTGCCGTCTAAAGTTACTATACCACGCCGGCACAAACAAAATCTAGTTAATTTTATACAGTCTATCCTGAATAAGAGAGGACTCGGTAAGCAAGAAAAACAAAGAAAAGTGTAAATTTTTTTTAACATATGACGTTTTTACCCTCTAAAACCATTTTAAGAGAAGAACAAAAGCCTTTGAGAAAGTGATTTTTTACTGGTGAACCTCACATTGGTTATAGACCAACCATTGAACATATGCTATTAATGACCCGTCTTTTGAATTTCGAAATGTAAACCATTGTTTTTATTTTCTTAATTTTTTAAAAGCAATATTATAATGCACACGAGACTTCTTGGCGAACTTTCGATTGAAAAGTAAATCTCAAGTGTTTTAGTTTTATAAAAACATCACTTCGTACCTCTGTAAATTAGAAACACGAGTTAGAAAGAAACCTCTCTAAGTGAAAAAAAAACGTGGTCCCTTGCACACTCTCTTATCCATATTCGACTGTATATTTGTTCTACATATAGTCTACTATAATCTTAGGGGAAGACCAGCATGCGTAGCAACAATGAGATGTTCTATGGGCGCATCCGAGAAAAAGCATTATGGGAAGATCTGTTTTAGGTGTAGACATTACATTGTCCAGTTCGTTATGCTATGCGTGCAGTGGATGACTAATGATGAGGACGACGTACATATATACATTTTTTAGAAGATAGGAATTTTCAAGTTACCTTTCTGTTTCATTTTTTAACTAACGTTATTAATTGACTTTTATATCAGGTGAAACCTATTATATAATAGATACAAAAATATTAACTTTATACTTGATAATTAGTAAATTCCGGTGATTATGTAATTATCTTTAGATTGTTTGGCGACTTACTTTGACTTTATTTAAAACGTTTTCAAAACCCATTATTATAATTATAAGCAAATAAATTATTTTATGGAAAAGATCAAATAGTTCTTAAGCCACTCATTATTGTTATCCCTGAGACATACTAGTAAAATGTATAGCAATTTTATCCCTAGACTTAAAATGCACGCAACTACAGACATCTTTATTGATCGCCAAAAATAAAATAAAAAATCTGTCACATTTGGTTTAAGAAATATTTATTTATTGTACAATTGCATAAATAAAGTGAAACTAATAGAAAATTAAAATTAATAAAGGCTAAATTGCCTTCTGTTTATTTACTTGCTTCGGTTTCTCTTATAATGGACCAACAGCTGTCCCCTAACATGATTTCACCCCAAAACCCCTGATGTCGTTCTTCGTAAATCTTTAATCTTGGTAAAAACGTTCCCCTTGTTCGTCACAAACACTTCCAAATTTTTCTGGAAAAAGAAAATCTCAGATGCTAGTGGAGGAAATGAGTTTTACACCCATCTATTGAAAAATCGGCTTGATTAATTAGATGTGGAGCATTTTCTTGAACAGAAAATGCGTCAGTATTACTGGAACTTGTCTTCCACTTGTACATTTGAACTCTAAAAAACTAGATAAAGTAGATACTTCGAATGTAAAATAGGCTTAGTAACAGACTCAACTTTTTTTTTATTGTATCCCGCCGTCTTTGCAACACAAAAGTAACACTCATTTTCATGGTTACTGGGTTCTCTCCATAGTATTGGTGAACTAAATAGAAGGTGTACGTTTTCTCCTGATGACCACTGGAGTAAAACGATTCTATTCTATAGCTTTTTGTCTTGGTTCGCAACAGGAAATCCAAAATAATGAAGATATGCACTTTTAACGCATCTAACAAAAGGTCTTCTCTTTTTTGAAAATATAAACTATCCACGGACGTAGTAAAAATGAACAGAACTGTGTTTACACTTTCCACTCGACATTTTTTTTTTAATTTAAAACAAAATATTTGTCATTTGAAGTGAATTCATGAACATTAAACAGACGTCAACTTTGTAGGGTACTTGAAAAAAATAAGTTATTGTAGAAAGAAATTGTGATGTGATAGAATATTTCTGCTGATACTTTTTAAGTTTAACATACATACATTATACTTTTGCATTTACCTATTTTTGATTTAGTTTTGCTAAAAGCACAAGTTAAATCATTTTCAACAATGAGAAGGTTTCATTGTTCATTTATTTAATTTGGTCTTAATTAGTAGGTTCTTTGTTACCTCAACGGAAAAGTATATTTACTTGTTACCCTCGCGGGAGTATTTACTACTACTTTAAGAACCACTCACCGAGGAAGGATATTTTGAAATTAAACCGCTAATTGGAAACAGTTTGTATACAAGGCATGTTTTCAAATTGAAGTATTACGTTGAAATGAGTAATACCTGTTTAAGAGTATGAGGAAACTTTACAACTAAAGGGGTGAAATAGAAGTGGAAATTAAAGAAAATGCTCTACATAACCCAGGGGAGAAATACGGCCACGTCGTCCGATTAGTCCACATTGTGAAATCATCCTACCGACTGACGTATGGTTGCTACGATTTATTTATGATAATAATAACTTCTATAAAATATTACAATACCCATTATAACTAAAAAAATAAATAATTAAAAAAACTAAGGTTTTCTTTTTGATAAAAAAATATTTAAACATTCAGATCACCAAAGAGCAAATCACGTACGTATCACTATTGAAACAAGAAGAACAAACCCAATACATTGTAAATAATTTCAGTGAACACACTACAGCATATCAGAACTTCATGTGTGTACGGTTTGCATATAAAGTTATCCAACCATACGTCTTATCGTCGTTTTGAAAGCAATGTTCAAGAATACAGCTAGTCCCGAGTTGAGGAATTTTGCTCACAATCAAATAACAGGGAAAGTTTCATATAAATATACTGTACGTCTTAAACCTACGATGTTTTATAATTATAAGACAGATAATAAATTGACAATGTTTCCAATTTCAAAACATATATATTGACTGTAACATAATATCACATTAAAAAGAATTAAAATTCCTACACACTTCCATTACTTACTGAATACGCAGTTCGGGCATATGGCTGTTGTGTTGATGACCTGCGTGGTGTCAATTCTAAGCGCTCTACCTGTGAAAGATAAATAAATTGTTATTATTATATGTTATCAACTCAAGCTTACCGATTCAAGTGGTCTATTGTTGAAATATTTTTATCTTTGCGTGCGGTTTGAACACTGTATTTTATCTTTCAATTTAGTTTAATAAATAGTATGTAGTTAATAAAAAGTATTTACTGCTGCTTTAGGAAAGTTATTTTTTTATTTTGAGTCTGTCACCGACGAACCTATAGGACTATAATTCCCCATAGCAGAAGGGTTTTGATCTGTCTGCGACAGACTATAAAAACCTGAAAATAAAATTCTGTTTCTGCTAGTGTAATTTTTTTGTAAGACTGCCGAACTGTCTGCAGACCTACTCGGCTGTCTGCGACAATGTCGCAGTGTCGCTCATTGTTCTGCCTTGGGGGACTATATTTGAACAATTTTGCATTCACAATGCTGTCTTGGAAAATATGCTTAATGAAAAATTATAAGCAAATTCACAGAGTAAATTTTTAAGCATTTGCCATTAACGATATTCTACAGGACTTACGTAATCATTTCACCTTAACATGGCTTGGCCATAAAAAAATAAAAAAGCATGGGTGCGAAATTAAGCTTCAATAACAAATTGAATTCGTCACTTTTAATTTAAACCAAGAAAAAAGTAGAATGTTACACATGGCGCAAAAAAAAACATTTTATTTTTTAACTTACTCCCTTGCTTTTATTTACTAATTAATGCTCGGAAGTAAAACTTCCTCTTATGAAAATCTTCTATTCGTTTGGGCGATACATTTTCATGAAAATTCAATCGATTGAGTTCGAAATGTTGAACAATTAATACTGTCAAAATCTAATATATAAAATTTTCATGTCACACATTTAGTTGCTCCGAAACTGCTTGACTGATTTTAATGAAATTTATATGTATATTGAGTAGGTCTGAGAATGGGTTTTTTATCTATTTTAAACCCCGTCGCAAAAAGAGGTGTTTTATTAGTTTGACGTGTGTACGTGTGCGTGTATGTGTATGTGTATGGTGTGAACAAATTTGGAGATTCCACGAAAACATTGATCATATTCCATTATTATTAGCCTATTAATGTGCCCACAGCTAGGGCTCAGGCCATCCCTAGGGGTAGAATCAAATCTAACAGGGAGAATAGGCCATGACCGACGGGCCCAGTGCGGATTGGCGACTGCAGACGCAGCCGGGAACCAACAGCTTAACGTGCCTTCCGAAGCACGGAGTTCGAGATAATAAATTTTTGGTCACCTATCCCATGATCGGCGATTACGAGCTTAACAACCGTATCGCAGACCGAACGCACTAGACACTGCGCCTTTATTAATAATCATTAAACATTGTATTAAATATGATGCAAAATAAACAGCAATTAAATATCTAGTCGCAATCTTGTACGAAAATGATCAAGATTAAAGTATGACAAAGTTTCATACTATTTAAGGGCTCCGAATAAGTTACGGATTGCCAAAATGGGTTTCATTTCCAAAAATAGAGAATCACTGCTTTAAAGGATACGCAAAAAGAGGGGTGTTATAAGTTTGACCGTCTGTCTGTCAGTGGCACCGTAGTTCCTGAAGTAATAAACCGATTTAAGAGCTGTTTTATTAACCGACTTCAAAATGCAGAAAGAGGAGGTTATATGTTCGACGTCGATGTATTTTTTTTTTATGTATGTTCACAGATATTTCCGCCAATTGTTATAATGTTTTATTTTTTAAATCGGACATTTAAAAAATAAAACATTATTTATTCGACACATTAATATACCGAGGTATATTAATCTGTCTATTAATATACCGAGTATATTAATCTGTCGAATGGTCCTATTTAAATTTACCGAAATCGAATCAGATTTTCATATTCAAGGCGTAATTATATTTTTAATGAAAGTAGGTATGTTAATCGATTTTTTCTTGAATTGTGAACCAATTTCTATGAAACTAGCTGTTTATCCTGCATAAATTATAGCCTATGATGAAAGATTCAGTCTTTCCTCTTTTAAAAAATATGAGTATAGAATTATTGGAATAAATTATGTATAAAATCTTCTTTTCTAAGAGTTTCACCAAGTTAAATATTTTTATTTATATGGATATTTCATATTTTTAGTGTTATATATTATGTAAAAAATATCAAATTCAGTAAAAAGTATGAAATAAAAACTTCTTTTTTAAATAGACCCGATTTCGGAGATATACAAAAATTGTATATATATACAATATACGTACTGAATATACTTTTAAATCTCATTAGTGACTGAAATTCTGACATAAGGATTTTATATATTAAATAAAGTAAGTATTATTTAAAGTCAAGGTAACTGTACCAATAGCTAATAGAGCAATACCATCGCTCAGTAGGACCAGAACACATAATTCATCGTGTTACAGTGCTTATTGCTTACAGTTCTTACGCAAAGCGAGGTAAGCGAAGGGGTTATATAAGGCGACCTACTGGCATACTGACTCTGGCTCACGCGGCGCTTGCGCTGTATTACCACCTACTTACACTAGCTCGGTTACGGTAATCAAGCCACAGGTAATAATTAAAAATATCCTTACTGACGTAAACATACGACAGATTTGTTTTTTTTTTTAATAAAGCGACAACCAGTTCACCTATTCTTTATAATTATAGTAAAATACATATATTACTCGCTTTGCGAACGGCTTCGCCAGCGTGGTCCTGCATTATACATACTATAGGTATAGATAGACCTTCAGCTTAAATCACTCTGTATATTGATGAAATCCGCATTAAAATCCGTAATAAAAGCGACTTTATTTTATACTAATAGAAATATAATATTAACTGATAAATCCTATTAATATTATAAATGTGAAAGTTTCTTTGTTTAGATGTTTGTCGGTCAACTCACCGAAATTACTGATCGGATTTTGATGAAATTTGATACACAGATAGGGTATTAGCTGACTGAGATAATAGGATACTTTTTATCCCACTTAACATTTCCCTAGGGCCCACGCGGGCGAGGCCGCAGGCGAAAGCTAGTAGTAAATAAAAAGGTTTGTTAAATTGTCCGAGCGGAAATCAATCCCAATATCTATGCTATTTGAGTGGCTCAGTTATAATGGCATGTACACAATAAAAATTAAATACATAAGTAATAAAAATAAGGACTTTGTATTTTTGTCACATAAAATTTTCTCAATACAAAAAAAATCGTTAACCACTAAAATTTACATTTTTCTGGTAATCACACTTTATTATTATATTATTAATGAAAAATACTTTAAAAAATCCACTTGTTCCCTGGCACCCTGTGATGGGATTCGAACCCATGACCTTTCGCAATCCGGGCGACTGGACTAACAGGACTGACGAAATGACACTTTATTTAAAAAAAATATTTTTACAATAATCGTAAAGGCTTGAAGTTATAAGTTAATAGTAGTTATTTGCGCGCACAACGCAATCCTGAATCCTGAGACTCAAGGACGGGCGCATTTAATTCGTCTCTCAAACTTAAGTTTAGGTTTAAATCTAAACCAGAATAACTAAATAGATCATAAACAAAATAAATAACTGAAGAATTATTAATTCTTCATTCATGCCAACATATAATTTTATTATCACTATACAAGACAAGAACAACCGACCAAGTGTGAGACGGACTTGCTTGCGCACTAAGGATTCAGTACCGAAAACGAGCAAAAAAAATCACGTTTTTTGTATACAAGCCCCTTTAAATATATATTTTATTCTGTTTTTTATGTTTTTTAGTATTTGTTGTTGAAGCGGCAACAGAAATACAGTCTTTAAAGATTTCAACTTTCTAACATCACGGTTCAAGAGAGACAGGCCTGGAGACAGCAAAAAATCACATTTGTTGTATGTGAGCCCCCTTATATATTTATTTTATTATATTTTTAGAATAGCAGGCGGAGATCTTCAGTAGGTTATTAATTAAATGATAGGCGCCCGACTTCAATAGCTTTCTTGAATAAGTCGCTATTGAGATACCTAAATATATTATTTATCACTTTTTAAGTTTGAAGCAGGTTATATTTTCTTTATTTAATTATATTATAAAGAAGAAAGATTTGAATGCTCGTTTGTTTGCATTGGATAGATTCCGAAACTATTGGATCGTTTTATAAGTATAATGCGCATTGGACATAGACTATAATTTACACAAGCGAAGTCTCAGTAAAAAAGCTAGTTTTATAGAAATCGGTTCACAATTCAAGAAGAAATCGATTAACATAGCTACTTTACTCCTACTCCTTGAATATCCTCCTTTCGGATAATGAATGAATTCCAAATACGCAATCATTTGTTTTTTAGCTGAAATACATGAAATACTCGTACAATACATTTAATCTAAACATTTAGGTGACATCTAGTGAAAAGCGTATTTTGTTTTGTTAAAAAAGGAAAACTTCGATAACATTTAAATGGTACAACCTAACTCGAATAAAAAAGGAACTTTGAAAATCGGTCAAGAATTGGCGGAAATAATACATAGAAAACATACATTTATCGCCATCGAACATCTTCATACATAGCAAGCAAATAATTGCATACCTATTGAAGTAGTCTATAGTCACGTATACTTGGATCTTGTTGCAGGAAGTATTTAAAAAATAATAATACCCGAAATCAAACTAATGTCGCTCATACGGGCTCAGTAGCTACGGACTTTTATACTGAACTTACATCAACGGGATTTTTCAACTGCAAATCAGAATACTTAAACTCATAAAATAAAACATGAAAAACAAGCGTGCTGATAATGTCTATGTTATTCAAACTCTGGGGGATGCTCCCTGTGCACGACCAAATGGCTTATAAATTAAAGATCATTTTTTTTATTTGGATGTCCAAGAACTAAAGAAACAACATCATTACTCGATAAATAACAAACCGTTACGGGCAGTGTACCAGCTCCTATTTAATTCCTAGCTTTATTAATCAACTAGCTTTAGCCCGCGACTTTGTCCGCGTAGTACAGTTACCTTGAGCAGCATTTACAAGCACTTGTAAATATCAAAAACTACGCCACCGGTCCGAAATTTACGGCAGGCGACAGAAGAACTGGCAAGAAATTAAGAAAGGACTGCTTCTTTTTATTTATTTATTTCGACAATCCATTAAGATAAACATACATTATTATGGGCTAGTACATTACGCTGTACCATTTTGCTTTTGTTGCAAAATAAAGAAACCGTCCATTACTTTTAAATTTTATATCACACTACATCTACTATTCGATCTATAGTAGATGTAGTGTGATATACAACCAAAATAACACAACTTTTTACATATTTGATGATTGATTATAAAATCTGTGACGAGCTTCCGAATCGTAAACAAGATCGCACTGCAGTTTCGTTTAGTTTCTGTTTTGTCAATGAGTGGAAGGCGCGGTCTCAATTTTCGTAAGCATAGGATATTGGTAAAATTTGTAAAGTTATTGATTAATGTTATTTAACGGAAGATATTATAATTATATTTAATTATTGTGAAACATAATTTTAGAGAATTTTTCGAACATTACCGACGCAAGCCTGAAGCCCTGTATATAATTACGTGTGTAACCGTAATAAGAAAAAATAGGTACAAAATGTTAATGACTTTTTCCTGACTCAGGTTAAGATCATTAACAAACTAGACTTGAATAAATTCGATAACCAGCGTAGATTATTGTGACGAAACTAAGGTATGTTTTATTGATATAAACTTTTTGACGTCACTTTCCCAAAATTTCATCTCGAAAAAGATAAAAAGGCAAAAAAAAAATGCAAATAAGTCAATTTCGCACAATATCACTACAGTAAAACTCGCAGAATGTCATTCACTCATTATTATGCTCTCTATTTATTATTGTATATTGCTTACAACCAAGCAGGGTAAAAATAAAAAACACAAAACAGTGCAATGTAGCATATACTTAACGCCATCTAGTTTAGCTCAAAATATGTAAAAGGTTGGTTTTCTTTCATAAATAAAATTATTTGTTTTTGAATATTTAAAAAAGTTATATTTAAAATGCCATTTTCGTTATAAATTATGTACTCAAATATCAATTTTCATCACTAATAAGGAAATCTTTATCAATAATAATATAGATAAATTTATTACAATGAAAAGTCAAAGAATAAACAATGATTGCTATAGTTGATTCCCCATAAAAAATTCCACTCCCATATTCATCCCTTTAAGTCAGTATTTAAAGGGAACTTTTGAAAACTGAAAACCAGTGTTTTCAAGACAAATATACATTCAAAAACAAAGAAGTTTCATACAAATGTTTTCACCCTTTTTTACCTTCGGAGTGAAATTTCCAAAAATCTATTCTAAGTACATCTTTACTTTATAAGATGAAAATATTCTCCAAAATTTAAGTCTCTATGACCAGCGGTTTAGAAATAAGTTTGAAATAGTATTGGTGATGCAATTACTTCTATATCTGAATTCATAATATAGGTAGGAATTAGAAGTCTAATGATGGTGTCACAAACATAACGCAGTTACTCCAACAAAATGCTAAACTGATGATTCAACATCAGACCAGGAATATTTTCAATAGGGACTCAACTAATTGCAAATACAACAGTCAGGCATCAAATTTTTTTCATAAATGAAATCAAGTTTATACAATCATGCAATAGGATAAACAAAAACATCTATGTATAATAATTGTTCACTTGAAGATGTAAACTATTAACCAAATACTGAATAGTTACCAGACATCTGTTTATTTGCTAATTAACTTGTCTTTTATAATTAATATTTAATAGGGTGTGCATATGTTATGTTAATATTATTGTATTAATATATGAATCAAAAGCTTTCTCTATTTATAGAAAATATGCAGACAAAGACTTAGTAATAGCATGGTTTCAGTTTGTAATTTAAAAAGAAAAATATTTACTCACATTGAATTTCTTTTATCTTCAGTATAATAAAATATTAATAATAATTTATATCGAAAAAAAGCATTAGGTATATTATATTCTGCAATAATTTAGCAGTAGTCAAATTAAAATTATTATTCAGATAAACTTAAATTAGTCACATGACAGAATATTTAAGACCTGGCATCTACCCACATTTTATATCATGTCTAAGTATCTACATTATAAATACTGTTGAAAATTTGTAATAAAAAAAAGAAAATTGTGAGAATCTTAAAATTATATTAATGGTCACCTAAGAACTTTCTTACATATATATTCTAATGTTACTAATAATTTTTTTTATGAGAATAATTAAATATGCTGAAACATTCATCATGATGAGCCATAAATTGTTGTCAATTCCAATAAGTTTTAGCAACAGTAAATAAGACAATTAAATTATGTAATAATTATGCAACTCCGAAATTGACTAAGAACAAAGGTCTTCTTAATTTCTGCAATCGACAAAGCGCAACAGGGCGTAATCAAATGTCGCGAATTCGCTATTTGTTTACGTTAGCCACATTAACAACAAGTTACTATTAATAATACACTCGAAGAAGGTATTTTTTGTAAAGAAAGATTGCTGTCGACTGACACGGCCCGCCCAATAGCTCATCCCTATGTTTTACACCCTTACATAATTTCCTTACGTAATAACCGCATGGCAAGGATAGGCTCCCACCGGTTTCAACGAACCTTAACTGTATTATTTTATTACGTAATTTTACGAGATTCGTTTAATGTTAGTAGGTACTTTTTTTTAAATACATTGAACACATTCGCCGGCTTTTCTGTTTAAGACATTGAAAACAAATGAAAGAGGTAAACAAGTAATAATACCTGAGTTCTGGAAGACGAAGGCGGGTGAGCAGGCCCGCCAGCCCACATAATGTTCTAAACAACGTTTTCTAATGATAACAGCTATGCCGCAACACAGTAATTCGTCTCATATGCCTTTTATAACTACTTTGACACAACATGGGCACAACAGTCTAAACTCATCTTAAACTCGACTGAACACGACGTACTAGCTTATCGGACTCAATCTGACATTCTGAATTGCTCAAAACTACCGTAATAGGTACCTTAACACGCTACAGACTAAGTACTAAGAAAAAATAGCGTGCTAATTAACGCATTAATTTCTTAACTCGGTAAGTACATACTAAAAAGGATGCGCGTCAGACGCATTAAATCAAGCAGTACGCTAAATCTCGTAGTACGTTATTTATAAGGTACATGTAGATATTTGAACTAAGCGCGTGTTATAGTATAAAATAATTTTATATCTTATTATAATATATGTGAAATAAAAGTAAATTGTTTTACAATTAAACTTTTTTTATATAACATAATTTTTTAAATTTTTCTCACATAATCACTCTATAATCTAAACAATTTAAAATATAACTAACAACTAACTAAACTATGTTAAAAATATACGATCATATTAAACACGCTACGAGATTAAATCGTTTAAACATCCAATAACATTTGGTAATACTCGGTCGCAGGTGCTTATGTTCGTTACGCGTTACAACACTAAAGTCTTAACGCCTTAACGTGTACACAATAAGTACAACTAGCGTGTTAAATTAACACGCTAAACGCTAATTTAACCACCTCGAAAGTAACTGACCGACTGAATGAAGCTGACTGAAAAAATCATGTGTTCGAGTCACATCTCAGATTACCAGGGACACAGTGGATTTTTTAAATATTTTTCATTAAGGATATTAATACCTGTTTCTGCGATTATGGATTACAGAAATTGTACTCTTGAAAGAGTGTAATGAGGGTTGAAAGTTTCCATGGAAATCTGTAATTTTTGATATTTGAAATGTCAAACATTTTTTTGGATCACTTATCATCATTAATGGCTAAATGAGAGTAATTTAGCCATTAGTAAGCGGGATTTTGATAACGAAGCTTGTGGTTCGAGTTCCATGTTCTCAAAAATAGTGTTAAATTCGACTTAAATTGCATAATTGTAGTGGAGTTTTATTCCATTTAGTGTAGTAAAAGTGCACTATTGTAGGGAAGGCGAAACTTAATCTCGTTGTTATGGTTCCACCACTTAACCTGAGCTCTTGACATGACTGTCAGATGGACTACGACTTGAAACATTCTGAGCTCGATTTGGGCAAAACTTGATACACATTATTTACTTGAAATTAGCTATATGTACAAACCGTGCGAAGACATAGAAAATAAAGAAATGGCTTAATACTGGGTCAAATACAGCTTTTTAATTTCCTGCACAACATCATGCTATTTGCTGTGTAGTGTAAAATAAACCTTATATTATTATTATTATTAATTTAAATTATCTGTTTCATTTCATACACAGCGACATTCTTGTTGATTGAAAAATGAGCCTTATAATTACTAAAACCATTTCAAATCATCAAAATAAAATACATACCTACCATTACGTACCTCACAATAGGGTGATGTCTAATTTTTGTTTGTTAGTCCGTCGGGCAGACTATTTAAGAATATTAAACACGTATTGTGCCGATACATTGAGTTGAAATATCGCATGACGTTACGCTTTTGTACATTTTCTACAAAGCTGTGAAGTCGTGAGCCCCTACTCCGCAACTTTTAAGTTTATTATCTAAGCCATTTCTTGTTAAAATTGAAGCAAAAAATACGTATCTAGTGTTTTCTATTATCTGACTGACAGACTAGGTAGAATTTCTTTTTTTTTTACCCAATCGTAATCCCTATTGTCAAACAAAATAGGAAATCAACTTTTATTTTTAGTATGTGAAGAAAATAAACAAAGTTCTAGATTTTCTTCTTCATTCTTCATCTAGAAAAACACAGAACGACTTAAAAACCACTGAACTTCTTGTCTTATTTAATCTTCGTTTTCATGTTTCTTCATTTATTAGAAAGAAAACATGTTTTCTCTCTATAAGTATGAATTAGATAATTAATCAGAACAAGTTCTTTTATAAGTAAAGATTGATTACTAGCATATTTACGTCATAATAATCTATACTAAAATATTTATTTCTTTTAAATTACAGAATCGCAGGGTAGATCGAATGTTTAGTGGGCGTTTATCAAGCAAATACGATTTATATCCAAAAGTCTGGGTTTTTCCCTATCTGCCCGTCAAGATTACAAGGTTACAAGATACATCGCGCAGTATCCTTATTTTCACCTGCTTCTATTCTGAGTGACTATATTCAAAATTTCATAACACAGAAAGCGTTTTATATTTGAAGTCGAATATGAAGCATTACATCAAAGATGCATTAGACTATATAGTAACTAAAAAAGTTAATTTTTGCAGAAAACGACTAGACCAAAGATTGTCATTTCCATTCCTTTTAACTAACATATTAAAAAACTGAAATATGCTAAGTTAAAACTTCGATATCAATACAAATACGAAAAAGTACAAATATAATATGAGTTGTTAATTGTGTTTTGAATATTAATTTACTTTAATACATGAAAGAAAACGGGAACGATTGTAATGGAGAAATCAAGAAAGTTCCATAGCGACATCTAGTTTGATTTTGGGAACTAACGTTTTTTAAAATACTTTCTCATTTCAATATTCTTCAATATTCTCAATATTCGTTTGAAAAACCTCTGTTTTTTCTCTAAAGCCCGGGCTAGTTGGCCATAACCACAATGTATTTTATTTTACTATTTTTGGTGTGGATTAAATTAGTAGATAGAGTTATAAAATGTTTATTTCAATATCACTAGCAACCATATTTTGTTCTTTCTGTTCTTCTATCAAACTGTGTATGTCGTATACTTTTCAAAGCTTTTTCATTGTTTAACAAACAAAACTCAACATTTACGCAACAAATATCACAATTACAATGAGGAAGCATTTAAAAAAACATTAGTTCCCGAAATCAAACTAGATGTCGCTACACTTTCTTTCTTGATTTCTCCATGAAAACTCGTCCGGTTTTCTTTCATGTATATAAGTAAATTAATTTTCAAAACTCAATGAATAACTCATATACTATTTGTACTTTTTCGTATTTGTATTGATATCTAAGTTTCGAACTTTGCAAATTTCAGTTTTTTAATATGTTAGTTAAAAGGAACGTTAACAACTATCTTTGGCCATTCCTTTCCTGCGATAATCTACTTTTGCTAGAGTCGCCATCTAGTGAAGAGCTTTTTAGTGCTTTCTTTTTTCTTAAAATACTTCCTCATTATCTTTCAATAAGGCTTCTTTTATCGAAATATTTTTCTTGTAATACTTATATTATATAAAATATAATGAATCGGATCAAAATATATTATCGATAGTTTCATTGAAGTTAACAATTGTGTTGCGTAGCAACTTCAAACCCCCTGTTTGGTAGCCAGACTACATCACTATTGACGTTTCAATTTACGGGGTTTACCGTTCGATGGCGCTAGTAAAAATGTCAGCTGTCACTTGTAAGGGAGTGTCCCACGCGTCGACAGAGAAAAAGCAACATTTCACGCGCAGATGTAGCAATAAGCACTTGTATATTTGTGAGTTGTCGCCATCTCATACCCGGTCACATAGTACTTCCGTCTTATTTTTTCTACGGTCTCGCCCCTGGTACCAAGGTATCATAAATTACCATTAGCAAACTACTGATAAGTATAGTCCATAGAGAATAGGTATAGTTGCAAATCGGTTTAGTTTACTCTTTGATTGCAAGTTTTCGATTGGTTATTTTTTGGATTGGTTTTTCGACATTTCGTAAAACGTACGTATTTATGCTGTGACTTGTCTTTTTAATGGGTATATGCATTTGTATTATCCATAAAATTATTTAATTTTGTAGTGAAACGTGTCCATTCTTATTATCAATATTTTATAAAGGTAATTTGAGTGCGGAAATTTACTGTGATTACTCTAGCAAATCTATTAAGTCTTGGAAGATATGGCGCGATGATATTGTAGTGTTTCTCAACTTGCAAAAACAATTGTAAACTCGTATAATATAACTCCCTACAGGTACCAAATATTCTAATTTCCAGATAAATATTATAGCTCGTTGTCGCGAATGTAACGTAGTTTCATGTCGCAAAGATTATAAGTGCTGCATAACGAAATAAGTACTAGGTACTTACGTGAGATATAATTTTTATATTCTAGTTGGAAAATCGGGTAATCCTGAGCATTTGCTTAGGTGGTCGTCTAAGATGTATGATATCTTTAACATAATTGAATTTCTGGGTTAAGTGATACAAGTTACTAACATGGATGATGATGGGGATGATAAAGACGATACTAAAAGGTGAGAGAATCATTCTTATTTTTATTGTCCTAATTAGTTTTGTTAATTATTTAGTATGTGTTTGCCAGGGTATATTGAAGTATTTAATTTTACAGGTTCATAATTTATTATACTACACTGAAGTGTGTTATGATATACCATTTCTGAGTTCCTATAGTGCTTCTACATTCAACAGTGTAATTGGTTTTTAGTGCACTATTGTTGGTGGTGCTTATTAGCTCTCTGACAAGAAGAAGCAATTTAAACACTTCTCATAGTTCTCACTGACTGACTGGTGACTCACTGTATGCTTATGTTAGAACATACTAGGATTTATCAAGATAATAACATTTTTATGCAATATGTAATATATTATGGTAGTCTATAGTTAAGATTTTACATAGCATAATAGTTTTGAGGTTTATTTTCACAAGTGGGTAATATAAAGATAGTGTTGTTAAAATTTGTCTAGCTGGCTGAAACCCTTGGGGCTTGGCAATCAACGTCATTCACAGTCAAAGTTTTGAGTCCTGTCTCAATCAACTCATTACAGCTTTAAACTTTCAATACTACATTAGTATGGATTGACACTCTCAGTATCCAAAATTGACTAATAGAAAAGGCTTTAGTCATACTTAAATATATATTTTAAATATAAATTTTAGGAGGACTCGCAACCTGAGTGAGAAAAAACGTCGTGACCAGTTTAACATATTGATTAATGAGCTCAGCACAATGGTTTCATCAAACAATAGAAAAATGGATAAATCTACAGTTCTGAAATCTACAATATCATTTTTGAAAAATCATAATGGTATGTCTTATTTCTTTATCCTTATGTTTTGATAAATAAAAAATAATAGTTATGAGATAAAATTTAATAGCTAAACCATGATGAAGAATTGGCTGGCATAGTGGATTACAATTTGTGTTATTAAGTACTCTTTGCAAAGGATGAGTGACCAAAAAATTATTATCTCAAGCTACTCTGTGCTTTGGGAGGTGCATTAAGTTACACAGTTTACAGTTGTTAATCCACATTGGGCCGGAGGGTCAAAGTTCATCCTCCTTAAATATCCATAAAGATAATTTATTTATGAATTTTTAGTTGGTCACACTAAAAGATTTTCAAAGGCTAAAACTTGTGAGTCTATCTGTTAATAATATTTTGTTGCTTTTTGAAGTGTTTTTTTTCTATGCACTGTTCAAGTGATGGATCTGTTGACTGAAGCAATGCATCTACTCTTAATTTAGGAATCTCTTCGTGATTTCATTTTTAAGGTTCAAACAAATACCTATCTATGTATCTTTGGAAATAATGACAAAATGTCTGCTAGATGTTGTCTCACTAAACCACACCATCTATAGACAAATATTCATTAACATAGTGGAGTGAACTGGAGTGTTATTGTGCTACTTTGGCATTGCTGTCAAATATCTTTCAAGACAATTTGTAAGCAATTAGCAACATAGCAATCTCCAATAACAAACCTAGGTCTTTAGGTTAGGTTAGGGATCACCAATTTTCTAAGCTTGATGCTTAGATCAGTCCATTGTGCATGTAGGTTTTTATCTTTGGGCATATTGATGCAAAGTGACCTATTTGTCTAAAATATAAGGCGATCATGTTTTTCTCCTTATTTCTGTTCTTTTTATAATTTTTTGTCAGTATCACTACTGGGCTATAATTTTTATGTTGTAATTTCTTTTAGTTATATTTTTAGCAATGAGGAAGTATTAATAAAAACACCTTACTAGATGGTGACTCTAGTAAAAGTTGATTTCTGAAAGAAACAAATGTACCAAAGATAGTCATTTCTGTTACTTTTAACTTACATATTAAAAAACAGAAATTTGTAGAGTTCAAACTTAGATATCAATACAAACACGAAAAAGTACAAATAGAATATGAATTGTTTATTGAGTTTTGAAAATTAATTTATTTTTATACATGAAAGAAAACCAGAAAGGTTGACATAGAGAAATCAAGAAAGTACCATAGCAACATCTAGTTTGTTTTTGGGACTTAAGGTTTTTTTAAATGCTTCCTCATTATTATTGCTGTAAATTCTATAGTCAAAGGATAAATAAACATTGAATTTTGAAAATTTTTGTCATACATGGAAGATACTGAAACAACATACATCAAGAGTTAACATCTCTTAAAATAGTTTGAAGTAATTGATAGTTTGGAAACACATGATGGGAGGACATTGTTAAATAAAGTGTGCAATAAAGATTTGTTTTTAATTTTGCAAAAACAACTTGAAGAGGGATTTTACTTAATTGTGGGAAAATTTTCAAGTTGGCCAATGGCAAATAGTCTGAATAAAAAACTGACCCTGAAAATTTTTAACTTGTTGTTCATGAAACTCAACAATCTTAAAAATAAACACTGAAATTTTTTTTCAGAAATAACAGTCAAATCAAGGGCTCATGATGTTCAAGAAGATTGGAAGCCATCTTTTTTGTCTAACGAGGAGTTTATATATTTAATTTTAGAAGCTTTAGAAGGATTTGTTATGGTGTTTTCTGCTACTGGAAGAATCTATTATGTATCAGAGAATGTTGCTTCTTTACTTGGTCATAATCCGGTAAATATTCATAATAGTCCGTCATAAATCAAAATACAATAAACTGTTATTATTATTATTTTTATTATATTTATAAACATATTGAATATTGTTTTTCAGGCTGATGTTGTAAACAAAAGCATTTTTGATTTATCTTTTGAAGAAGACAGATCTCTTCTTTATAGTCTTCTTCAAAATCCTGATTCTACTGTTGATCTTTTGCAACCTATAGGAAAAGGTTAGTATTGTCTAGGTATGAATAGATAGGATTAAACAATAAAACTCGTGCTCCTATGTAACAATATACGTCAACTAAATCATTTGAATTCTATTATTTTGTTATTCTAGTTATTAAGATGTATTCAGTGATACTCAATTTTTTGGCTTGTCGGGTAGTAAATGCAACTGCGAAGTTAATCTGAATGATTTTTGTATAAAACAAAAGGTACGATTGTATAAGTTATAAATAATAATATAAAAACTGCTGTGTTTTTATATTTTTATTTATACGCTTTTTTAAGCTACCAATTCATACGATCCGCAGTGAGTGCGTTATTATTTCTTTGTGACTTTTACACTGACTTATTTTTTGTTAAAATAAAAACTTTATATCTACCGCTGTTGTAGAGTGGCTTGCGCGCTGGTGTTAAGATGTCGCTATATCTGGGGTCTGGGTATAATCGAGCCTGGATCGATTCCCACATTAATGTAGAAAATGAATTGCAATATATTGTAGTCATACCTTTGTTTTGCAGATACATTATGAGTGTTAGGAATCTTGGAATCTGAGCTATGTATGTGACGTTGTCTAATATTTTCTTATTTGATAGTAAATGAATTTTCAGATCTTTAAATTTCAGAGATGATTATGTGATATAGAGCTAATGTTCCATATTTTATACATATAAACATAAACTGTGTGCTTGTATATAATATATCTTTTGTATGAGATTTATGGAATGCTTTATATTTAAAAATGAAAATAATTTTTAAACTTTGCATAGCAAACAAAATATTAATATAATTGCATAGCGAAGTTTAAACAAATTTGATAAATGCATAGAAATTTTGTATTAGCTATATATTTGTATTATTATAATTATGTTTTTCGCATGGTAAATTTTAAAATTGGTAAGGAATGGTAAAAAGAACATCTTTTATATGCTAGTTGTTATGTATGTAATCTCAGATATATATAAGCGAAATAATCCCAATTCTCAGGTACTATAACGAGTGAAATTATTTTTCGTTTATTGGCATTGAATAAGCTCCGAAACTATATAACGGATTTTAAATATATATTCTTTCACCTACATTGAGTGACTTCATACATGGGTGATGAAGGCTGTAATTCATATGAGCGAAATCGTAAAACAACTAGCATTCTTATAAAAATATTATTCTTCTATTAAAACATAACATGATACCAAAAAAAAAATATGTTACCTAATATCATCCTAATGAATCTGCACTTTCTTCTTCCTTTTGTGTGTTAGGTAAGGCAGGAGATGTTACTATTTTTACGAATAATATTTAGCGTCTGTGTACTATGTTCAGTAAAGAAATAAAGTAAAAATCGGATTCATTAATTCCATTATTTTTTTTTCTAATGAACCATTTATAGCGAATTTAATATTTTATGTTGTAAATAATATTTTTCCCATGCTATTTCACCTTGTCCCACCAAGCCATGAGATGCAATGATGCGACTTTTGTATTTTTCTCTTTAATACCTCATAGGGAAAGACCCTTTAAATATAACTTGATTGAACGTCTCTCCGTCTGTCACATTTGCACCATAAGTATTTGAATAAAACCACTTGTTGGGTAAATAAGAAATGATCAATTATATATATATTTTTTTTGTAATTGTAAGAGTAATATTATAAGTAATCTGACCGAATCCTGTTTTGTTTGTTATATCATTGTAAGTATTGGTCACAGTAAATATATATTTAACTTTTAAGTTTCTGTAAAATATAAGACGTTTATAGCTTATTATTTATACGGAACCCTCAGTGGGATCATTTCGTAGCTACTTTTTAATCATCAATAACCAGAGATCAAAGTAAAGGCACGTGCATTCTCTATGAATAACATAACTAGAATAGTTCATTACCAGCAGATGCCATGTCAGTGCGTGAAATATCGACCAAAACTTCTCTGTTTGTATAAAATGGGAAATGTAGAAGGCAATAGATTTATGATGGCACAGTTTTAGGACTTTCGAAAGTGCTTATAGCCTAGACTGAATAAATGCTATTATATTATGATAAAAAGGTTCAAAGCGAAAATTGATTTCTGCAAAGATCCCTGAAATACGTTAGTCTCTGTACTATTAAGTTTTTAATTGTATTTAATTTAAACTGGTTTTAAAAACAGGAAAGATTTTATTGGTACTCTGCTTTAAATAGGCTCCGAAACTACTGAACCGATTTAAAAAAATATTCCACCTACGAAAATCTACGTCATATAAATTTACGCAAGCGATGTCGCGGGAAAACAGCTAGTGCAATAATAAAGGAATGAACTCACACCGGTTTCAATGTGTAGCCATCTCTGACGTCCAGGATGCGATTTTTGGTCGGTTCAAGTAGAAAATGTTAAATGTTACTTTTATATACTTTGTTTTTTTTTTCGGATTCTGATAATACAAGCGCAAAGCTACTCAATTTACGACTTTTGCGAAAGTTTCTTTATTTCCATAATCGTAAAGTAAACGCTAAAAACTTATAAATTTGCACTAAAATGTTTGTTAATGATGATTCACAGGTAAAACAAAAGATATCACTTAATGTTTTTTTATTTTATTTAAGTTAAATCTAAAAATTAATGTGTATAGGGATCGGTAAAGCAATAAATAAACAGGGCTTAAATATATTTAAAAAAATCACAATGATAATATTTTTAACGGACTTCAAAGTCCAAAAGGAAGTTATATGTTTGACGGCGATGTATGTTTCTTTTTAAGTATGTTCACCGATATTTCTGCCAATTTTGACCGATTTTTAATGGACCGAGGTGGACCTATTTCAATTTTGGCTAATCGAATCATTAGTTTTCATTATATATATAAAAAAAAACACCTAAATGTTTAGGTGATATGTATTGTATTACATAATAGTTTTATAAAAGTGTTTTCACTTTGTTATGGTAACCAGAAAACGACATTGCGTAACTAATTATATAAAACTACTTGTAATGTGATTATTGAAGTGACTTAGATAGTGCGAGGAATTTGTGCGTGCGAGATTTATGCACGGTCCTACGACTCATTGCAATGCGACAGATAAAAGCATTACAATTTTTTTGAGATATTGATAGCTGTGCTAGTTTTGGTTTGATTTCTGAACACCAAAGGGACTACATTTAACATTGCTTTCAAGTGGTTTTGATCGTCAAAGTAAGACTATAAATGTTTTGTCTCTTTATTTATAATTATTCTGTCTGGTGCCAAATTTGTGAAAATCATTACGTTGGTTAACATAAACGATGCGAATTATTCATCTAAATAAATTATATTAACATCTTTGTATCAACTTCAACTGTAATGTGTTATTTGTATGTACTCAATAAGGTACATTTTTGCATGTTAATATTTCACTTATTATATTATCAATTTTAATCATGTGATCTTAATAATACTCTTTGAATGTTTATAAGAAATCATGTTGAGACGTGTCTATTCTCAGCAGCAATTTATATGTTATTTCGTTATTATCAATTCTGGTTCTTTTGTTGATCAAATCATCCGTCAAAGACCTGTTTTCATGCGTCTTCGCACGCGTAAATTATGGCCTATGTAGCTAGCCATAGGTAAAATATTTTTTTAAATGTTTCAGTAGTTTCGGAGAGTATTTGATGCAAACAAACATACAAATAAACAATCAAATCTTTTCTCCTTATGTCTATTATGATATAACGTATTACCATATAATTTTTGCGTTAATTAATTGTAATCCCACGCCAAAGCGTCTCATCAATACTAAATATTTATATTGCTATGATATACGGGGATCGCTTTGATTCAACAAATGTGTACGAAACGACGCTAGTAATGTGTCGTTCCGTACAAATTATAATTTAGTTATACTATTATTGTTTTACGTTCTTACCGTTATTGGGAAGGTCGATTTCTTTTTTCTCATTAAATGTTTCAGATATTTTGTTGAAAACATATATGTTATTCTCTATAAGTACTCGTTTTCCAGATAATGAAATCCGATTCCAGTGTCATTTACGACGAGGTAATTTGGACTTCCGAGAAGAGACCGTCTATGAGCTGGTGCAGTTCAATGGACATTTTAGTGAGTGTTCGTTTTATTTATTTGTTGAAAAGTTTTCTCACTTGTGAATATGTTGTAGACTAGAACGGAATGCATACAATAAACAACAAAACATACCAAAACGACAAAAAAGAAGACATTTTGTATTATAATAAAAGTTGTTTATTCCACAAAGGGAATTAATCTTAAACTTCCCAAGTTAAGTAATTAAAACTTACCCCAGCGAGATTATATACTTTTTACTAAACTTACAGTAGCTAAATTAAAAAAATAAACCATCCTTTAAAACGTTTTAATACAAAAACTGGAAATGAAACTTAAACATCCCTTTTCAGAATGAATCTTTTAATATCATTGAATGTATAATATTAAACATTTGTTTTTTAGTACGCTTTCAATCGCGCTTACATTAATTCTAAAAATATTATTGCTTGATTTGGTTACATTGTGATGTCATTACATTGTAAACGAATCGCAGTAGTTTCTCACAATGTTTGTAAGAATTAAACTTGTCTCTAGTATAGTATAAAAAATATGAAATATTTCCTGATATAACATTTACTTTGCAGGGATGAATATGGAGCACGTAGACAGTGACGATGCTGGCTTTCGGCAAGACCATGAGTCAAGGTACAATAAAAAAATACGCATTTACGTATATTTTAACAAATACTACTTTGCAAAAATAAATATAATCCTTACAAACTACCTAATGCAAAAAATATTGTACAGTTATTTTTGAGATACAATATAGATGCTATCCCAACACTATTTGCTGCTATAACTGTCAAGTAGCCATTTTGCAAGTTTCACTGTCACTCCATGTCAGACGGTTAATATCTTAGTTAAGTCGTGCTCATCACTTTTGTTTCTATCTTTTTTTCAGATTGCTATTCGTATGCACCTGTCGTTTGTATACGCCTCAATTGATTCGTGACGTATCGTTGGTGGATTCTAATAAAAGCGAGTTTACGTCGCGGCACAGTCTCGAATGGAAATTTCTCTATTTGGACCACCGTGCACCTCCCATCATTGGATACTTGCCTTTCGAAGTCCTCGGTACCTCGGGTTACGACTACTATCATTTCGATGATCTAGAAAAAGTGGTTTCATGTCATGAAACTTGTAAGTGGTAGTGTATTTATCTTATTTATAATTAATTAATAACAAAACTTTTATAAAACGAATTTAAAGAGTAATGAACTAATGAAGTTCGTCGCACCATAGATCTCATTTATGCTCTTGAGCTAGATTCAGGTGAAGAGTGAGCCCATTGTAAACAAAAAAAACTTAAAAACATTGAATATTAACGTGAATAGCAGAAGTTATATGTACTGAGGACATTTGTGATAATGAATCAATATTTGCATTATTTCTCTGTCAAAATGGACTGTATGTTGACTCAATTATTTGGCATTATATTTTGATATATAATGGCTGCGCGATAAATCTGAACTCCATTGTCGTTCTTAAAATGTACATACTTTTTAGAATCACAAAAAAGTTGCAAAATACGTAGGGCGACACCATCAAGTACATAATATAAAAAAAAATCGCATTGAAGTCTATAGTATAGTAAGATATAACTTATATGGCAGATTGATTATATACCTGAACATCTCAATGTCTTCTAAATTGAACTGTTCAGAAGACTAAATTTCGAATGGCGGCAAATTATTAGACTCCGGTTAAAAATTGTCAGCTAATTAAGTAGATTCAAATACTAATTACATGATACGAGATTTAAAAAAAAAAAATAGTATGAAATATATTTAAGTAATTAAAAATGGGTTGTGCACATGTTTTATAGTGTAATAAAACGAGAAATCTATACAAGTTTTTTTTTCTAAGTTTGTCATTCTCCAGCGGGCAAAGCGGCATGCAAAGGTGCCTGTGATTACACCTTGTAGCATCCGCCTTAAATGGTACAATACAAGTAGGCAAGGTGTCAGTATTTGTCAGTTGAGAGAAAAAACTGTAATGCCTACTATCTAAGTATTTGCTTATTAAAGCAAAAAATATGTATTTTTTGTAAATTAGTAACATAACAGTATATGTGAACTTAGAAAAGGTAATAAATAAGGAAGATAAACTAAAAATAACTATGATGACACGTTTTTATTTGTAAGACCGGTTTTATACTGCTTAGAACTGAAAATATATTTTTACAGTAATGCAGAAAGGTGAGCTTACATCATGCTACTATCGATTCTTGACGAAAGGTCAACAGTGGATATGGCTGCAGACGAGATTCTACATCACCTATCATCAATGGAATTCTAAGCCTGAGTTTGTCGTGTGTACGCATCGTGTGGTCAGGTATCATATTTGTGTCATTATAAAATCTTAAGACAAACAAATTTTTCAATTCTATGAAAGCTATATGTCAATTTTACACTTAAAACCAGTTAAGTTTCAGGCGTCAAATAAAAAAAAAAAAAATAGAAACCAACCAGGGCATGCAATCTTGATATTGATAGCCAAATATCCATGAGTTGAATCATAGAAGCTATAAAGAAGAAATTGATTTTCAAAGGAAATCTTAACGAGCTGACGAAATTGATCGCTAGACTAGATTTTGACCTAACGAATATTGATATACATATATTATTATATATCGATATTTGTCTTAACGAATATAAATATACGTACACTTGTTGAGACTTGCATTCATAGTTATAATGCAATCATTTAGATTAGCCTATACTTGAATTGCGATTGCAAACACTTATGGGACATATGGCTAATTTATTTGGGAATGGCTCAGTAGTGCTCATAACACGCTTTCTTAATTTTGCGCTCGCACAGCTAGATCTAGCCAATTTTGCCATAACAAAGTGAATCTAAAATGTTTACAATACAGTGCCGCAAACTTATCTGACTCGGTGGTCGAAATTGTAACTAAGGCGCCATCGTTTGGATTGTCATCATACTTTACATTTTGTGACAGCTTATCGTTGTGTACGACGCGTGGTATATTTACTTTGTTAATAATGCTGAAAGCATGGAAAAGTGAACGCCACAGAAAAGCACATGAAGATATTCAACAAAACTATGAAAAAAAATAGAAAATAAAAAAGATTAAAGGCAATTGAGTATTAAAGTGAAAAATTATGTAATTTTTTACATTGTTTCAATTCTTTTTATTTTGAGATGAATATTATAATATAACAATGTATGTAAGTCCAAATAACTAATAACAGTATGTTATTGTTTTAATTATAAGAGTACAGTATGAAATATGCCTTTTTTATTTAACATACTGTTTTCTCCTGTTTTTTTATTGGTGAGCTGTCGTTTTCTAGTTTCTTGGGGACAGTAACACTGCTATAAGGTCGTATTATATAACAATTATTAAAATCACAAATTCCAACCACTCCTTGAGAACATGTCATTAGGACCAAAAACTGGGAAAATATTAATTAGTGGCAGTACTGAATTCAACAACAACGACGCTGTCATTGGGTCAGTTAAGTTTATGGCACTGTATCTGTCTATCATTAGGTACAAAGGAAAACGTACGAAAGTGTTGCCGTTCGGTGTCCGTACTATAATAACAGAGTCAGTGCACTTCTTTTAAGGACAGTAAACTTAAATTAGTTTTATTATCTGTTTTGAACATTTATGATGAACATATAATTTTTTTTCATATTAGAGTTTTGTTTAATTTTTATTAAACTACAAACCCTAAAGTATTCAATGGTTTGATTTTCAGCCACGCTGATATAGCGAAGGGTACACCTCAAGAAGGTGCAGAAGCCGAAAATGTAAATGAAGCGGAGGTGACCCGAGTTGATCTTCAAGAGCCAAATACTGAGGAGGCAATAGTAACACTCTCTCCCTCATATATATCAGAGGCTAGTGATGCGTTTGCTAATTCGTATCAAGTTCTGTCTCGGGTCAGTATTATTGACAACAGTGATATTTAGTACTTTGCAATAGATGGAGACTTTTCAATATTGAGCACAAAACAGATGCATAGAGTAGAAGATTAAAAGATACCAATTAAACAAGAACAGCCAAGCCATCTAACGATCGATTTCAATATAAAAAAACTAACTAAGAACAGCGCCAATAAATATTAAGCATACTTTTATGTCTAATCTCACAGTGGCACCACACAATGGCGACTCGTATTTTAAGTCACATGACATACAGACAAAAATCACAACTTATAATTTTAATTTAAGATAATCGTGCGATTTTAAGACCCAGAATCTATGTTTATGATGATGTATGAATTTTGTTTTGCTTTGTAGTCAGCTTCATTGAAATCTGCGTCGGCGAGTAGTACTACTGGTACAGTAGCTACTATATGTACTGCGGCGACAGGGGGCGCGTCGTGGACTCGTACTTCCTCTCAAGCGCTATATACTAACGCTGGTTCCGACACTGCCTCATTGTCTGGAGACTCACGTTCTTCTCAACGTAACAGCTCGCGTGAAGTAAGTTTTTGATGTCAATCATCCCTTAAGCGTTTAAAACTATAGTACGGCCAACGAGAAGAGATACCAAATGTAAACAAAACCATTAGGAAATGTAGGGGTGCGTAACTTTTTTAAAACTATGTGTTTTATTAGCAGACAATAATATTTTATAGTAAATGGCATTGAGCTACTTTATGTAATTGTTATTCTAAAAATCTATCAATAAAAATACAATGAGTTGAAATTCGAATAACAATACTCAAAAGGATAGGCATGGCAGGGAGGTATCTCAAGTCTGTTGAGTTAACTAATAGCTTAGGTCCTGTAATTTTTTATTAATTATAGTTTGGATTATTTTATTAATGTAGTTATCAAGAATGAGATTTAATGTCGAGAATAATATTTATGGCAGTGAGGACAAAAATGAAAATGAATGAATCACTATTATTTAAAATGGTCGCCTGAATGTTGGCGAACCCGTCTTGACATTGACACATTTTTGCCGGGAGAACAAGACATTGCGACAAGTACACAAGATGAAAAGAGATAGATAATAGATTGTCAATACCATCGTCGTTTTTCGGGTTAATGACCTTTCGTATCGCTGCTAGTTGGCTGTACTTTAGGTTTATACGATTAAGAATTATTTTGCGTTGACATGAAGTGAAAGCGCCAATAACTCAATTCATTAATCGAGCATAGTTGAATTTTGTGACCAGGGTTGTTCCTGTAGTGTACTTTGATGGGGGAGAACAAATCAGAAGCCGACGTTTAAGTAATTAATTTATTATTATAGACTTACATTAAAAGCACACCAATTACAGACGCCAGCATAGAGAACGGTCAGAGAGGTCACAGACTACACTGTCACTGTTCGGTCGTGCCACAGATTAGTATGCGACACTCCTCCCGTCTTAATTTACAAACATAAATATGCACTTATAGCACAAACAAATTAGGAAGAACTTATAACACTTTTATAAATCTAGTATTTGTCTAGGTTTGGGTAGTCTCGAACTACGTCTTACGATTATTGGATTTACTGGTGGTGTGGTTGCCTCAGGGCTAGGTACATTAATATTAGAATTATCACTAACAGAGCTAGGTACAATATCAATTGGTTCATGAACATTATTATCCGAATTATTTTTGCTTTTATCTATAGATTTCCGTAAAGGTAACATTTGTGTTATATTTCTAGTTAAATTTCCTTTATCTGTTGCAACTTTATACATTACATTTCCTATAGGCTCTACAACTTTCCCTTGTAACCATTTGTTACTATTATTATACATTGAAACTTGCACATTATCACCAGGCAAAAAACAATTTATTTGTTTACTTGGTAGTAGTTGATTTTTAGGTATCATAACAGAGTTCTTAATAAGTGATAACCTTGTACGTAAAGATCTTCCAAACATTAATTCACAAGGTGCTTTGCCTGTTGATGCATGTGGAGCGGTGCGATAACTTAATAACCATGACAACAATTTCTTATGATAATCATCTTTATCAAACTTACTTGCTAACAAGGCTCTTTTAAAAGTCTGAACTGTTCGCTCTGCTTGACCATTACTGGCCGGATGATACGGAGCTGTACAAACATGTCTAATATTATTACTATTACAAAAATTCTTAAATTCTTCAGAGATGAACTGAGGACCATTATCTGTCACTATTTGTTCCGGCAGTCCAAACCTTGCAAATATATCTCTTAAACTATTAATGGTTGATTCGGTAGTTGTTTTATTCATTTTAACAACCTCTGGCCACTTAGAATGTGCATCTACCACTAACAACCACATATGACCCAAAAATGGACCTGCAAAATCTGCATGAATTCTTTGCCAGGGTTTAGTTGGCCATTCCCAACTATGTAAAGGTTTTAACTCAGGTTTGTTACGAACTAATAAACAACCTTCACAATTTTGTGTTATTTCTTCAATTTCCAAATTAATATTGGGCCACCAAAATAAACCCTTAGCCAAAGCTTTCATTTTTAATGTACCCAAATGCCCCACATGTAAGTCATTCAACAATTGTTCCCTTAATTTTTGTGGTATAACTGTCCTTCCTCTCCAAGTAATTACTCCTTTAACCACATACAATTCTTGTTCTTTTCCTTTATATGACAAAAGCTGAGGATCAACTGTTTTAGGCCACCCACTTTCTATATAACTATAAATTTTACTTAACAATGGATCATTAGAAGTAGCTTTAGCTATCAATTCATGAGTTACAGGTGGTACATCCATGAATACATTATTTATCATGGGCTGATTTAGCTCAGAATCTATAATATCAGACTGTGACAGTTGAATTGGCAATCTTGAAGGAAAATCTGCACTAGCATTATGACAAGATTTCCTATACTCTATTTCATAACTATAACTACACAATATCAATGCCCATCTAGTCATTCTATCTGCATAAATGTTACCAACCGATTTATCTGGATGAAATAAAGATACAAGTGGTTTGTGATCCGTTACTAAAATAAAATTATTCCCTTTTAAATATAAATCAAACTTTTTTACTGCCCAAATTATTGACAATGCCTCTTTGTCTATTTGTGAGTATTTGATTTCTGTGTTAGTCAAAGTACGACTTGCAAAGGCTATGGGTCTTTCTACATATTTGTTTAGTTTCTGATCATATAACTTGTGAGATAAACAAGCTCCTAAGCCATATTTAGATGCATCACAACTTAAAACTAATTGCAATTTTGGATTGTAATGCATAAGTATTTGCTCTGATGCAATACAGTTTTTAGCCCATTGAAAAGCTTTTTCATGCTCCTTTGTCCATTTAAATGATACATTTTTTTTTAACAAATTATAGAGAAGATGAAGTCTTTCTGCGGCATTTGGCATGAATTTATTATAAAAATTTATAGTTCCCAAAAAACTTTTTAATTGTCTTACATCTTTAGGTGGTGGAGCTTCCACAATTGCTTTGATATGCTCTGGTGTTTTATGGATACCTTCTTTATCAATAATGTGACCACAATATTCTAACTTATTTGACATAAGAATAGTTTTGTCTTTATTTATTTTTATATTTAATTGATTTAATTTTGACAACACTGTTTCCAAAGTTTCTAAATGGGATTTTACATCACAATTCGCAATCAATATATCATCTAAGTATGTATACACATTAGGTATATTCCCAAAGTGGAAGTCCATAAACTCTTGCCAATCCAGAGGCGCTGGAGCTATACCAAACATCATAAAAGTTGGTCTATAGTATCCCCAAGGGGTAATAAGAGTCATTAAATCCTGTGCCTCCTTATTCATTTTTCTATTCATATAAGCTTTTCTAACATCAATTTTTGAAAACACTGACACTGGACTACTGTGATTACTATTAAGTTTAGCAAAAATATCTTCAATTACAGGTATTGGATGGTGTGACACCTCTAAATGCGGGTTAATTGTGACCTTATAGTCTCCACAAATTCTAACATTATTAGGTCCTTTCACAATAGGAACAATGGGAGTGGCCCATGTTACATTTTCTTTAGAAATTTTAATCATTTTACCGGTGTCAACCAATTTATCTAACTCTTTCTTTACTAAGGGTTCAATAGCATATGCAATACGTCTCGGTTTACACAGAATAGGATTGACATTGTGTTTTAACTTTAGCCTACCTGGAGGTCCTTTAATTTCTCCTGCAATATCAGAACACAAGTTTGGATATTTATTTAACAACTGTTGTAATTTAGTCTCACTATTATTCTTATTTTCTATCATTTGAACAGATTTACCTTTGAAATTCACTTTACTACATAATGGCCAATCAATTTTAATTACATTTAACCAATCTCTACCTAACAGTGGTCTTTTACCTTCTTGTACAATTATCAGCGGAGCTAAATATGATATGCCTTTTGATTTTACATAAACTTGAGCTTTACCAATTACATTAATAGGCTTGTTACCAAAAGCTTTTAATTTTACATCAGATTTGACAATTTGTAAGTTAGGTAAATATTCCTTAGCATACCTGTTTGGTAGTAGAGTAACATCTGCACCACAATCAATTTCAAAGGTTATATTGACTCCGTCAATTTCCAGCTTGGCTTCCCAAGGCTCTGGCTTATTATCCTTTAATTTATTGACCTTGTTGACATCTAGCATCTGAAAAGAAGACTCCTGAAAAAGATCAGATAGATTAAGACTTGCCGTTTCTTCTTCTGTCTCTTGTACCAACTCTTGGTTTATTTTTAAAATACTGTAATCATTACCCTCATCACTACTTGTCTCTGCTTCTATATCATTAATATTTCTCTTGACTTTGTTCTTTTGTGTGTTACTTCTTTGAGTTTTACCTTTAGGATTATTATTCATATTATACTGTACTTGCTTCTTCTTATTGCATATTGCTGATAAATGTCCTTTTATATTACAGTTATGACACTCTAATTCTTTGTAGAAACAATCTTGCTTTGTGTGACCCTTCCGTCCACAACAGCGGCACATTAAAATTACATTTCT